GTAGGGTGCGGCCACAATGGGGGATCAAAGTTTTAAATAGAAATATATAGGAAAATATTTTTAAAAATCTTCTTCTTAAGAACAGCAAAGCCATGATTGGTCATAATTATATGGAAGCATCCTCAGGTAGTGTAGATTCAAGTTTGTTCAAATCATGACCCCCGGGGGTAGGGTGGGGCCACAATGGGGGATCAAAGTTTTACATAGAAATATATAGGAAAATTTCTTTAAAAATTTTCTTCTTAAGAACAGCAAAGCCATGATTGGTCATAATTATATGGAAGCATCCTCAGGTAGTGTAGATTCAAGTTTGTTCAAATCATGACCCCCGGGGGTAGGGTGGGGCCACAATGGGGGATCAAAGTTTTACGTAGAAATATATAGGAAAATATCTTTAAAAATCTTCTTCTTAAGAACAGCAAAGCCATGATTGGTCATATTTATATGGAAGCATCCTCAGGTAGTGTAAATTCAAGTTTGTTCAAATCATGACCCCTGGGGATAGGGTGGGGCCACAATGGGGGATCAAACTTTTACATAGAAATATACAGGAAAAAATCTTTTTCTCAGGAACAGAAAAGCCTGCATTAGTAAATTTGATATGGAGGCATCCTTGGGTAGTGTAGAATGAAATTTGTTCAAATCATGACCCCCGGGGGTAGGGTGGGGCCACAATGGGGGATCAAAGTTTTACATAGAAATATATAGGAAAATTTCTTTAAAAATTTTCTTCTTAAGAACAGCAAAGCCATGATTGGTCATAATTATATGGAAGCATCCTCAGGTAGTGTAGATTCAAGTTTGTTCAAATCATGACCCCCGGGGGTAGGGTGGGGCCACAATGGGGGATGAAAGTTTTACATAGAAATATATAGGAAAATTTCTTTAAAAATTTTCTTCTTAAGAACAGCAAAGCCATGATTGGTCATAATTATATGGAAGCATCCTCAGGTAGTGTAGATTCAAGTTTGTTCAAATCATGACCCCCGGGGGTAGGGTGGGGCCACAATGGGGGATCAAAGTTTTACGTAGAAATATATAGGAAAATATCTTTAAAAATCTTCTTCTTAAGAACAGCAAAGCCATGATTGGTCATATTTATATGGAAGCATCCTCAGGTAGTGTAAATTCAAGTTTGTTCAAATCATGACCCCTGGGGATAGGGTGGGGCCACAATGGGGGATCAAACTTTTACATAGAAATATACAGGAAAAAATCTTTTTCTCAGGAACAGAAAAGCCTGCATTAGTAAATTTGATATGGAGGCATCCTTGGGTAGTGTAGAATGAAATTTGTTCAAATCATGACCCCCGGGGGTAGGGTGGGGCCACAATGGGGGATCAAAGTTTTACATAGAAATATATAGGAAAATTTCTTTAAAAATTTTTTTCTTAAGAACAGCAAAGCCATGATTGGTCATAATTATATGGAAGCATCCTCAGGTAGTGTAGATTCAAGTTTGTTCAAATCATGACCCCCGGGGGTAGGGTGGGGCCACAATGGGGGATCAAAGTTTTACATAGAAATATATAGGAAAATTTCTTTAAAAATTTTCTTCTTAAGAACAGCAAAGCCATGATTGGTCATATTGATATGGAAGCATCCTCAGGTAGTGCAGATTCAAGTTTGTTCGAATCATGACCCCCGGGGGTAGGGTGCGGCCACAATGGGGGATCAAAGTTTTAAATAGAAATATATAGGAAAATATTTTTAAAAATCTTCTTCTTAAGAACAGCAAAGCCATGATTGGTCATATTTATATGGAGGCATCCTCAGGTAGTTTAGATTCAAGTTTGTTTAAATCATGACCCCCGGGGATAGGGTGGGGCCACAATGGGGGATCAAAGTTTTACATAGGAATACATAGGAAAATATCTTTAAAAATCTTCTTCTTAAGAACAGCAAAGCCATAATTAGTCATATTTATATGGAAGCATCCTCAGGTAGTGTAGATTCAAGTTTGTTTAAATCATGATCCCTGGGGATAGGGTGGGGCCACAATGGGGGATCAAAGTTTTACATAGAAATATATAGGAAAATTTCTTTAAAAATTTTCTTCTTAAGAACAGCAAAGCCATGATTGGTCATATTTATATGGAAGCATCCTCTGGTAGTGTAGATTCAAATTTGTTCAAATCATGACCCCCGGGGGTAGGGTGGGGCCACAATGGGGGATCAAAGTTTTACATAGAAATATACAGGAAAAAATCTTTTCCTCAAGAACAGAAAAGCCATGATTAGTAAAATTGATATGGAGGCATCCTTGGGTACTGTGGAATGAAATTTGTTCAAATGAGGGACCCCGGGGGTAGAGTGGGGCCAATGGGGGATCAAATTTTTACAAATGAATATATGGGAAAAAATCTTCTGCTCAAGAACAGAATGCCATTTGTTATATTGATATGAAAGCATCATCAGGTAGTTTAAAATTCAACCCCCCCCCCCTTTAACTTTTCAATACTTAACTGATTTTTGCTTTTTTTTCCCTAGCCAATGTGCTCAGGTGAGCGATGGGGCCCATGGGCCTCTTGTTTCTGGGAATTTCGGCAATTTTCAACTTAGAGTTTTGGCCATATCTTGAATATAGTGATGAACAGTTTGTCAGCGCAACTCCTCTTAAACCGCTGCACAGTGTGTAGATGTGCATATTAACAGGTATTTCCGATTCCATTATTTTTGCCCTAAGAGTTTTGCCTATTATCGTAGAAACTTTCCAGCTAGGTAATAAGGAAATCCACTGAAATCAGCTTTTGTAATGAAATTTTATGTGAAATATTTTATGACCTTAAAAGACCCTTACTGATTTTGAGATCAAAATGTTAATGGTTTAACACCCACACACCCACCCACACACACAAAATCTTGGATAGTTCTCACCCCCCCCCCCCTTTCAAATTGATGCTTTGCCTTAAATAATTTCATAAATACAGTATATGAACAAATTCATATGACTTACAACATAATTTTGTATCCATCAATTATTTAAATGAGTAAATTGTCATGTGTTGGACATGGACTTGTACTCATTAACAAATCGAAATCAGAGGAATTTAAATAACAGTTTGTCAGCATAATTCCTGCACTGAATTTCCTGAAACTTTATAGGTATTTCAGACATAATGTATAGATTTGTATATTACCAAGAAATTTTGATTCCATTGTTTATCTAGAAACTTCAGCCCAATTTAAATTTGTAACATACAAAGATTTGAATGTCCTAATATGCAAGAAGTTTTGATGTGAAGATTTTTTTTCAAGTAATGCTCCTTTTTGAATTATACTGTGTATTAAAAATGCACTGTGCCAATCATTACGTGTTGCATTGTCGAGTTTTGGGGGAGCGTGGATCATGTGAGCTTGCTCACTTTTTCTTTTATTATCAATAATCAATGACGATTTCGTCGAATTTACATTACAGACCCTGAAACGTGCTACTACCCCACACACACGCCGCACTAACGGCACACGGCTTGCACGAAACACTACATGGTTTACACGAAATGCTGCACCAAACGCTTTATACACGTTTCTTACACGCATTATACACGATTCTCGCACGCTTTGGCCTCGATCTGGATTTTCTATACGGAATCTCTCGGGCATTATTTTTTTTTACGGGTTAAACATTGATTAATTAAGAGTCGCAATCTTTCACACTACGTTTTAAAATAAAACTCGCTACACCTGTACTACATGTATTATAATGAACTGTTAGAAATATTCAAAGTTCAGTAGTTGATAATTTAAGGTGATATGCCCATCATCGTCAGTGTACATCCTTTTTACACTAAAGTCTAAATTATACACTGCAAGAAAAACCTTTATATTTGTCACTCATAATTTCTTTCGGCATTAATCCTTTTTTTTTTAATTTATTTATATAGTATGATATTAAAAACTGGTTTATTACCGAAATATATCTTAAGTAATTAATTTTAATAAACATTATACATGTATTGTTTTTATTTCCGTGAACGGATTGATTTTCTTATGATTTAGCAATAAGTTTATTTATTTATTTAATTCATGTTCCCTCTTTAATATGCAAAATTAATAAGTACATGGCAGTGTAATGTCTGCCTGTTATGCCCGAAACCTGAACTAGGGACAACACGTGTGTTCAGTTTCACAACTTTAATAGTAATCATATAATGTATCACGAACCCGATCAAATAAGCATCAAATAATCATATGTTACATCTCCCTTTCTTTAGAAAGATTAATTAATACAAAAATGAAATCAAAATTCAATTCAAATACATACATGAAATGAAATTTGACTTATCAAATAGAAATTCAGTTAATCGTCAATGTTCAATAAGACAATTTCTGAAATTATTAAAATAATTAATTCCAATAGATAAACCTAATAACTGAGTTCACAAATGTCAATACACAGCACTTCAGAGGTCTAAGCGGTTTGGTTTCTTCACAACACGACCGTAAGAAGTAACGACAGGTTTAGGTGAATCCGCAACTATGGCAGCTTTGGGAGAATGTTTGTTCAGAGTGTTTGGAGGTTCATGAGTATCAATCTCAGAATCGCTTCCTGTATCCGGTTCTTGTTCCAGATCCGGTACATGGTTAGCATTAGCGGTTGTTCGTCTGAGGTGTTTTCGGTTACGTCTTAGTCTTTGATTGTTGCTAAACTCAACGACATAGGATCTCGGCTGTTTATGTTGCTCAACTACTATTGCAGGTTTCCATTCCTTACTGTTTGAGTTTTCAGGGGGTGCAACTCTTACTGGATCACCAATATCTAAGCGTGGTAACTCTTTCACATACCTCCTATCATGATAGAACTTCTGCTTCTCTTTGATATCTTTCATTTGTTGATTTAGGTTTGGTCCTGTGTTTCTGGGCTTAAGCAGCTCTGTGCGGGTTGGTAAGTTGTTCCGTGGTCTACGACCCATTAAGAGTTGTGCCGGTGATAGGTTGACAGATTCCAACGGTGTTGTGCGGTAGTTCAACAAGCTGAGATATTTATCATCTGACTTTCTTCATAGTTTCTTAACTGTCTGTATTGCTCTCTCTGCTTCTCCATTGGAACTTTGGAAATGGGGACTTGACGTGATGTGTTGTATTCCATATTGGTCGCAAAACAAATGGAATTCTCGTGAATTAAATGGAGGCCCATTGTCTGACCGCAGTTTCATTGGAATCCCGTGACAACTAAACGTAGCTTTCATAGCATTAACAACCGCTGATGTTGTTGTGGATTTCAGTTCAATCGTGTCAAAGTATCTGGAATGGTAGTCCACTATCATAAGATACTTCTTCTGTTCAAATTCAAACAAATCACATCCAACTTCCCCATAAGGAATCTCAGGTGTATTTGTTGGCTTAAGTGGTTCACGACTCTGTTTGTTTTGGTACATGGCACATTTTGAACAATTCCTGACTTCCTCTTCAATGGCTGTATTCATGGCAGGCCAATACATGACTTCTCTTGCCCTCTGTTTGCACTTGACAATTCCTAAATGTGACTCATGAATTAGTTTCAGCATGTGGCTTCGTAGACTTGGAGGTATAACGATCCTCAATCCTTTGTAGACTATGCCATCTGTGACTGATAACAAATCCCTAGAATCCCAGTACTCTCTGACGCTAAGAAGTGTCTCGGATTTAATGTCTGGCCATCCATGTACTATCATGCTACAAAGGTCTGACAATTCTATTCTGGTACGATGGGCTATGTCCAAGTAGCGATCTGGAGTGACATCTAACATGTCGAACATATTGATGTTTTCTAGAGTCTCTATCTCCGGATCAGCCTCGGGTAAATACTCTCTGGATAGAGCATCAGCAACTGTCATATCCTTTCCTTTACGGTAACGAACTTTTACGTTATACCACTGAAGCCTCAGCAGCATTTTCTGCAACCTCATTGGTGTGGATGCTAGTGGCTTCTGGAAGATCATTTCCAGTGGCTTATGGTCATTATAGACAATAGTTTCTTTTCCAAGTATATAACAATGGAACTTTGTTGCTGCATGAACAATGGACAACATCTCTTTTTCTATCTGCGCATAGCGCTTCTCTGTGTCTGTGAGCGAGCGAGATGAGTATGCGACCGGGCGTCCCGCTTGGATTAGCACTGCTCCAAGTCCATCCTTTGATGCATCACACTGAATCTCCACTGGCTTGTTGATGTCATAAAATGCAAGCACAGGTTGTCTACTACAACGTCTTTTGAGTTCACTGAAGCAGTTTTCTTGCTCATGATGCCACGTAAATTCAGTTTCTGACTTCACTAGTACTCTGAGTGGTGCATCAACTTGACTCAAATTTGGTATAAATTTGGCTAAATACTGAACCAGACCTAAGAAACGTCTTACTCCTTCCTTATCCTTTGGCCTTGGCATGTCAACTAGAGCTCGGACTTTGTTCGGGTCTGGCTTAATACCATTCTCTGTAATCAAGTGTCCTACATATGAAACCTGCGGTTGTCTGATTTCACATTTGTCATAATTAAGCTTCAGGTTATACTGTGTAGCTCTCTCAACGACTCTTCTGAATATCTGATCATGCTGTTCTACATCTCTTCCACCTATAAGTATGTCATCCATCACTGCTGCTGCACCTTCTATCCCTTCAAGCATCTGATCCATGATATGCTGAAAGATTTCAGGAGCGGATTTAATGCCAAATGGAAGACGCAGCCATCTGTACCTTCCTATTGGAGTATTGAAGGTTGTTAGGTATGATGATTTCTCATTCAGCTTAATTTGGAGGAATCCTGACTTAGCATCCAGCTTTGAGAAAACACGGGCATTTGGTATGTTTGAAACGATATCCTCGACTGTTTTCATGGGGTGGTGAGCTCTCTTTACAACTTTGTTCAGGTCGGATGGATCCAGACAGATTCGAATCTTATCGTTTCTCATTGACACGACCATCGAACTGACCCATTCAGTTGGAGTATCTACCTTTATAATGTAGCCGTTCTGTTCCATCTCCTTAAGCTTTTCTATGATCCTTGGTTTCAGTGATGCTGGCTGTCTACGAGGTGCATGAATAACCCCCTCAGCGTCTGGATCTATTTCAATGTTGTGTTCTCCAGGTAGAGTTCCAGAAGTTTTAATCAACTCGGGAAAGTCTTTGAACTTGTATTCTGGATGATTATCAATCCCGTTATCCAGTTTCTGAATCCTTTCAATCAGATTTAGTTTTTCTGCGACATCACCACTGATAATGTTCTCTTGTTCCAACTCTACAATTTCAAATTGTGTATTCACTTGTCTCCCCTTATGTTTGATTGGAAGGTTAACACTATATAAGGGACGGATCCTATGATTAGTGTAGGACTTTAAAACTTTAGTGCTCTTGTAAGTAGGTGCATGAGATCCTAGAGAGTCGAACACTGATTTGACAATGATTGAAGACTTTGCCCCAGTGTCTATCCTGAATTTAACAGGCTTACTGTTAATGGTTGCTTTTACTACCCACTTATCATTAGTCTTGGAACTGTCATCCTGTGCACTGTATATGTGAAGTACATCTTCATCTGAAGAATTGATTTCACTATCTGTCTCCTGTAGTGCATTAACTCCTTTTGTACGTTTTCTGCACACGGCTATCCAATGGTCTTTCTTGTGACAGTATTTGCACGTTGATCCGATTGCCGGACACTGACCTGATTTTGCATGGCCTTCTGTCGGGTCCCACATCTACTACACTATTCCTTTTTTGCTTTGGGTTTGTAAGGCTGTCTCTTGTGTCTTTTTGTTTTGTGATGAGGTTTATACTGATATACCTTTTTCTGTACAGCGTACACTTGCGAGACCTGTTGAGTAACTGCCTGATCCTCACATCCTCGAATGAGTTTGAGCTGTTTCTGCGAGTTTTCATACTGACGACCAATACTGAGAGCTTTTGCAAGTGTAAGATCACTACCTTGATCCAAAAGTTTTTCTTGTACCTTAACATGTCTGACTCCTGCTATTATAGCGTCTATCAGGACGTCATCTGGATTTGTGTATTCACAGTTCATAATGATAAGCTTTAAGTCTTTGACAAAGTTATCAAATGGCTCACTCTCACCTTGTTTTCTCTGTTTCACTTTGAATCGTGCTGCCCGTTTATTTTTCCTTGGGCGGACGTATGCCTCGAATTTGTCGAGAATTTTGTCGGGTTTGTCCTCGTCTCCAGACTCCCACTCAAATGTCTTGTACACTTCACGTCCTTGTTTACCGACCCAGATTCCCAGCCATCCTGCTCGATCTTTGTCCTTAGCAGATGTAAGTGGTCCTTTGAATACAAACTGTACGTGCTGTTTAAAGCGACAAAATTCTTGATACATGTCTGGTGCTTCCCAGTCTAAGCGCGGCGGGTCGAACTGTGCAGCGGCGGCCATCTTGAAATTTCACATACACTGACTGACCTGATAATCCGAAGTATTTTGAAAATGCTAACAGTGGTTTCTCTTGAAACGGCAATAAACTTATGCAAAAGGTCCTGATTGACTGCCCTGACACATCTAGCACTTCTGACACCATGTAATGTCTGCCTGTTATGCCCGAAACCTGAACTAGGGACAACACGTGTGTTCAGTTTCACAACTTTAATAGTAATCATATAATGTATCACGAACCCGATCAAATAATCATATGTTACAGGCAGTAAAGAGGATGATTATGCATTTTCTTTTCTCTTTTTTTTGGTCGGGGGCGAGGAGGGGGTTTGGGGGTTGGGTTACCGAGATCTTAATTTGTGTATCTGTAAATCTGACATGGCTAAAGACCACCGGCAGTCGTTTCAGTAATTATACTATCAGGAAAAAATTATAAGAGAAACAAGTAACTGTCCTTAGAATATTCATGTCTCCAGCGGGATTAGATTAAACGTTTTATTACAGAGTTTAACATAAGGATTAATATATGGAAGAAAAACCCGCAGGGGGGGGGGGGGAGGGTTATAAAGGATAATTAGCTCTCTCTACATGTACATAAAATAAAAACAATATACATGTACCCATTACCTTGTAAATTACTTCATTATAAAACTCGGTGTAGGGGAACTTTTTTGTAATTTACAAATAGACACGGCACTCATCTTACCATGCAATGTTCGTTTATACATGTACATTACATAAAAACTCAAATATTTTAAAAATTACAAATTAAAGCTGCGTGATTAATAAAACAACTAATATTTCTTTATTATTTATAACGTATTTTAAACTCTTTTTTTTTATTATGATTACCGAACAATCCACTGTTCACAGAAATCGGGTCGATTAAAAATAAAATTCACGGGTATTGTGTGTACCCATTAAATAAGAAAAATATAAGGATTTTATGCCACGAATTTAAACGCAATCGGTATTCTCGGGTGTATTTTAGACATGATTGATAAAAGATAAAAGCAGAACAAGTTTTCAGTTCCCTGCCCATGGAGCCCGAGGTCGCTGTCGTAAATGACCTTCATCACAGTCGAACATTGCAATATGGGAAGTTGAAGATTTAAATACTTAAATAAATTTTAAGTGTTGCATCCGATGCACCACATAAATAATAATAAAGTATTTAGTTCTTTACACAAAAGAATATTATGCTTTTTAACACCCGGTACCGACAAAAATTGAAATTTAAAGCTTGAGTTTTTAAAATGCGGGCCCCCCCCCCCCCCCTTTCGGAAATATCTAATCCTGCGTTCGTAAATGTATGTGAATTATTACTCAAAAATTTTCAATTACCGGTATAAATCAACCAATGCTATGTGTTAGAAGACTATTAATGACCTAGTTTAAGGTATGTCACTCGTCAGCATTTTAAGAAAAGATCAATCAGAACCATTAATTTCAAAACTTTATTACAATTCAATTTTTATAACATATTTAAACCAAACAATGCAAATTATTCACCATTCAAGGAAAAACTGCTCACAAATTCATAAAGAAGCAGAATTTATGAAGGACTTTTTCTTGTGGTGGAAGGATATTTAGAGGAAAATTCTTCAAATCTACATATTTGGTAAATTTAATATCTTGGAACTTTAGCCCCACATATTTTTACTTAGATAATATTTACCGTTATGATATGCACGGAATATTAAATATAGGCCTCATTTTTAAAACAAATTTTACACATTCACTCTACAGACTTTGGCAAGAAATGAAGATCTATTAAAGAAGTCAAGATAACATTTACACCGTTTTTTTTTGCCTGAACATTGCATATTTTGACCAACATCTCAAAATTTACATCACTGACCCCAACTTTTTCTTTCATTATTTTAAACAGCACAGTACTTCCAACCCAATCAGCACTTAAGTCATAAAAAGTTTGATACAAAAAATATTTTATTGCCTATTTAGATTTTAGTCCGTCGGATGGGACGTTAAATGGTGCCCCGTGTCAATGATAACAGCATCCTTGGCACGTAAAAGATCGTTTCTCTGGTTTTCAAAAAAGGGTAGGCTCACTGGGGGCCCCCAGAGAAACCTAAAACTTCATAAATGGGCAAATACACTTAATTTGATCGCCGAAATATGGCTGAAATATTGCCGACTCGCCGTTAAACAATAACAATCAATAATCGAGTTTGTGAATGTGCAGATATGGGCAATATGTCAAGGGTAATCATCGCCCGGTTTCTCTCTCAGGAGGATCTAGACCTCATACTCGAGAGATCTAAGTGGCTCCGGGGCTCAAATTTCGGCATAAATCGCCAATACCCACCAACCATGGAGGAGCGCAGGCGTAAATTAATCCCGGTGATATGGCAAAACAGAGAAGAGGGTGCTAAATTAGTGTGCGTCAAACGAAGTAAACGGCTCCTTATACGAGCCCGACGGAGATGAACCTGATGAAGAGACAATGGATTACGCCCACGCTCTCCAGCGCCCAGCACCTCAAAAGTCTGATGTATTTAAGAATAGGAGATACAAGGCGTCGTCGCGAAAACGGACATTTGTGATTTTGATGCAAACATTCTGGTGTGCGGCCAGAACACAGACCCAGTGATTTTTCTACATTTTTATAAAGGGGCCTGGGCCTTTTTCAATTGGTAAATATCATTGACATTACTGTCAAATTGGTAAAAATCAATAAGACTGTAATTTAAGGTCAAACGATACGTTCCTCAAATATCCGTTTTGTGCATCTTCGTTCAAATATAAAAAAAAATATTCAAAATTATAATTACCTTGTGATTTCTAAACTGTTATCTAATTTTATTCAAAAAATCAACACACTAAAAATGTGATATTGGCAAACTAAGTTATTTCCAAATGGATTATATAGGAAACGCCATCCTCTGGTACCTTGTACAAATGCCTGGTAGGGTACCTCAATTTTTTGTGAGTAAACATGTTAAAGTATCAGTACTTCAATGACAAAATATTTGAAAAAAATATATATTATTGAGGAATGTATCGTCTGTCCTTAACCTTAATTGACAGGTAAAATAAAATATACAACTTAATCACTGTAAATGTTATATCATTTATTCATTTTACTTGCTACAAAATAACAAACTAGACACAGTTCTAACGTTTTAACTTTTTTTAATCTTTGAAAATTGTCGTTAATTGTGACCAACCTATATTTCCTTTTTTTGTGTTTTGCCACAATGGTAGATATAAGAGAAAATCCTTCTCGTAATAGCCATTGAAGACAGAATAATCTGACATGATTTATTACAAATCATTTATTTTTCAAACTAATTATTAAGTTTTCTTATTACCCTAGCTAATCAAATTGCTGCAATTTCTCTGCAATACTAGTTGCATCTGCTGGTTGTAGAAACATGGAATCAGGGATGCTTGTTGTAGAACTACTAGTACTTGGATTTACAAATAAAGCTATGTTTCGCCGGTTCACATGCATCTTACACTTTATAACCGTCTTCCTATGAAGACGGTTTACAGAGTTGAAGTATTTTACAGTCTTCGGACTATGCACTTCCCCTCTTTTGTGATTGGTGGAAATTGCATGATGAGAAAATTTTCAATTATTTCATTGGTTGAAATGCTGTTCAAGGCAAGGGAGATAATTTTCTGATGCTCTAATTTTCGTACGACTAAACATTTTTTCAAGAACAGTGGAAGGTGGCAGAGGATAGTTTTTTTTAATGCCAAACATGTGCCGAGGGTGTACACATATACATGCGATCCATAAAAACATGTACATGGGGACAGTTTTCCAGGGGCTAATTAATTAAACTTCATATGCCCATGTCTCACAAATTATGTCAACAAATTACAATGTAATCTGCCTATTAGAGTGCACATGTACCAAAAATGCACCTGGGGACTCCCCAAATTTTGGCTTGTTTTTCCAAGATTTTGGCCTCAGTCGCACCCATACAACCCACCTCCAGGCCCGAGCGAGAAGAATAAAACACCCAGTAGTCTGTAAATCAATGCATGCCCTAATGAAAAATCACCAATTGATATGGGGCCATTCACCTTCCCTCCGAGATACACACCTTCTTCTAAGGCCTACTGTTTTCAGCTGAATTTCCTCTGCAACTGACCACGTGTCTTAGTTTCGCATTTAAAACTCTGTATATGATAAGTGTCATAGTGACACCTACATGTTGCACATCATTTTTTTCAGCAAGCACTCTGCTACACTGCAATTATGTCCCATAATTATTCTAATCATTTTTCTACATAAAATATAATCAAACAGGGGATATCTCCCCTTTTAAAGAAATTTGACCG